ACAACACAGACAAATGTATCAGCAGTCTTTACCCTCCTCCTGCCTCATACACCACAGTGTATGAGGGGCTTAGGTTGCCTTTGTATGTTCTGGAGAATTCCTCATGTCAGGGAACTGTCTGTTGTTCTGCTAAAGATGGTATCTAACTGCTAGGCCAGCACAAAGGGCAAGTGACAGCCCAGTATTGGTCTTCAACTTGTATGTTTTAAAGGATTAAATAGTCTCTTATTATCTGACTGACATTTCAAACGTGGGTTCCATGCTTGGTCTCTCCTCCCTCTGTAGCTATTGTGTGCAATAACATCTTAACATGGAAATATATAATCTCCCCCACAACAAGCCTCTGCTTATTTCCTGAATCTCATCTCATGTCTGTCAGCACACATCAAGACTTCAGTGACAGTTCCCACCAGCCACACCAGCCTCTGGGCAGTCAGAGGCCCATTCACTGCCTGTTCCCCACTGCAGAAGGGGAAAAGTGGACTCATAACAGCTCAACTTTTCTCCTTGGAAGCTGTAGAGCCACAGCCTCAGCTGGTGTATATTGTTGTGGTGCCCTGACCTTGATTTAAACCAGGGGATGAGCCACTCCCCCTTTCCCCACACTCCCAACACGCTTCTCCACTTTCCTAAGGGTGGTCAAGTACAGATGACATCTTATGTGCAGTAGAATCTGTACCATGAAAATCAAACAGGCAAATACAGAAAATTTAGCAGGTGCCCTTTGTGGATTGAAATGATAAGAGTAAACTACAGCACGTGCTGAGGAATGACAAAGACTGTTCAGTAGATTGTCTCTGCCTGGAGGCATGCATAGAGTCCCTTCCCTGTAGCAGTGAAAAGCAAAAAGAAATTCTGTTTATAAAAATTTGCATCTTGCTCCATAAAGCAAGAGCCTATCTGGGGTTTGATGGGTGCCATGGCAACAGTGCTGCTGGAGTACAGCACAGGAGCATTTTCAGAGAGGGAGCAGGATGAAACAAAAAGCTCAGTGGTTGGATGTGGACACAAGGACTTTCACTGCAGATTGACAGATTCTCCTTCTCCTAGTTCCTGAGTGGCTATTTACAGTTGCCACCACATTCATGCTTTCACTTTATACTATAGTTGTCCAAAAATAATGAGGAAAAGAAAAAAATGGGCTACAACTAAAAGGACAGATCTTAAACAGAGTTCAGAGTTCCATTATATTGGCATCACTTAGAAAAACAATGCAGAACTATGAAAACCATGGTGGTTACTAGCAGAGAACAAAACCACAGGATGACATGTTCAGTAAAACCAGTGCTTAAATACCATGACTGCTTTAAAAGTATGCATGTAGAGGACAACAGATAACCATAGCTCTGCTGCTGTCCTGAAATAACTCATTTCAGCACATTTCACCTAGGAGTGACTCCTCCACCTTTTCTGAGATCTACAAAACACCTGCAATTCTTGTTTAATTCAGATATTCTAGGGTCTGTAAGGAGGTATTGAAGCTGGAACCTCATTCATACAAGCTTATGTGCTCTGACATTTGTGTGCAAAGAGAAGAGCTTAACACTTAACAAATGGGAGTATAAAATAATACCTACTGCAATGGCCAGAGGAAAACCAAAACCACCAACCAACCAACAAAAAAAAACACACAAAACCCCCAGCATCAGAGGAAAGTCTTAGTATTTTCTTCACTTCAACAACTGACCAGACCCACAGCTCTAGGTCTTTTCCAACAAAGCCTTATTCAACCTCTTGCCTATGCAGAAACACTTGCAATACCTGAGAAACAGACATTCATTGATTTCTTAACCCAAGCTTCTGCCATGTACTTTTAGTCCCTCTTTTCTTTCCCAGTAATTTTTGAACATCTTGGCCAATTTGGGAGCAAGGTGAGAGTTTTAAAGAGAATTGCTGAGTGTTTGTTTTGAGTGAGTGGCTGAATCATCTCATACCCTGAGAAGGCTGCAGTTAGGGCTCAAAAGTGGGTTTAGACCTAAGAAAACCCAAGCAGGGGAGAGCTACAGGTCTTCAGGGTCTGCAAATCCAGCTGCTCATGGAAACTTTGTTTTTCCAAACACTGTTCTCATGTTGCATTACTACACAAACTTTGTTTCATTTTGCTCAGATAGTGCTAGTTTATTTTCTCTTCCTGAGCCTTCCTGACCCTTGCTGCCCACGTCTTCTGCCTCCCTGGTTTTTGCTCTCATTTTAGATCTGTTCACACATCCTGCAATGCTTAACATCATCCTTGGGCCAGTGAAGTTTGCTACACAAATCCTCTCACAATGTTTCCTTACTGTGTGCTACATCACAATTAGACTATCTTTCCAACTCAAACCATTCTATGATTTTATGATAAAATTTATGAATCAAAAAACGACTAACAGGAAGCAGCATGTAAAAAACAAGAATCATAAAAGTTATTATCTCCTTCTTTGAGATTAGCAGGAGAAGTACTTAAGTCCAGCGTTTCGTAGCTCAGAATGAAGGAAAGTTTTTCATGGATCTACTTTTCAGACTTCTTTGTGGTCCAGGAATAAGATATGCTGCCTTCATACAAGAATCTTGTCAAATATGTGGTTGCTCTGTGCAGCTGAGTCCACTGTCTTTAAGTCACATCTACGTAATTAAGCTCTCTACTTCCTCTTCTTCAACAAGCCTTCAAATCATTGAAATCCCTCCTCTCCCTCAGCAATTTAGTTTGCTTAATAAATTACCTATTTTCACTTTACACAGCGTTGAGAACCTTGCTAGAGACTGGTTACACCCTTGAAATAGCTCTAGTAAGTCAAACACCACAGCAGATGTAGGGTTCCATCAATTAATAAGATACACCCATGGGCTGTATGACATCAAGCTGTACTCAGCTTCCTGGTTCCTCACTTCTTGTTCAGAAAAAATTTCCAGCCACAGCACTTAAAAAGTGTTCCAAGTGTGACTAGAGGTTAGAAACACGTGTCCTTGAGCCTTCAGGCAGGCTGTGGAAATGATAGAGAAAGGTGCAGCTTGCATCTTCTGTTAGCATCACCAGTAGGTCAGCTAAAAACCTATTTAGTAGCCATTTCACTTAAAAAAGAGGATTTTGCACCTTTTGCACCGAGCAATCCATGCACTGGCAAAACTCACAATCACAGGAGCAAAGTAATTATTGTTGATCTTCATTGAGAGTCTCTCATTAATTTAATAAGCACAACTCAGGAAAGAGAGGGGAATGGTTTTCTAAATACAGATTGTTATGCACAAACCAGGGGATTAGATCTCCCTCACGACATGAACTGGACATCTGAGAGATCTGGGTTTATTTCAGATGTTGCAGCAGAGTAGCTGTGTAGCAGATGTAAAGATTCAAGAAACCCACAGCTCTGGAGCCTCTCTGGCAAGCAGCTACATACTGCTTGGAACAATGAACCACTGTAGGTGACATAGTAATGATGTAAATTATGGAGGTACCATAAAGCAAGATATTTTAATAAGCAAGGGGATGATGATGGCTGACTACTAGACTCCCTTACCGCTTGAAGTTTCCACCTACTCGTCAGGTGTTTGAACTAAGGAAGAAAAAAGGCCATCAGCTCATTTAATGTAACATGCTATGCCATTTTGTGCCCACTGCTGGCTAATTCTCTCCAGGCTTCTCACAGCCAAGAGGACAGCAGACTTCCCTGCCTGGTGTTTTGTCCCTAAATAGATGGGAGCCACATAGCTGCTACTCCAGACCTGACTGAAAAGCACAAAGCAGAGGAAGCAGTTCCCCAGCCCAGGCAAGAGGCACAGCTGACACTGCATTGGCTTGGTTTGCAGGACCTCAGCTTTGAAAGGCTTTCTCAGCCACAGCTCTGAGCACTACAGAGCTCTCCAGCACAGGATTTCTGACATTTGTCAGTCAGCCAGACAAAGCTTTCTGGAAGTGGCAGATCCAAAAAGGGGGCACAACAAGCTTCACATCAAGTCAAGGTGAACTCTGCTCTGGTGGTGAAGTTTTACAGTTGCACCACATCTGCTCCCTTGCACGTGCTGTGCTTCAGAGATTGGAAGGCTGAGCAGCTCTCTGCTTTTCTGTGCCAGCCTGCTGCAATAGTGCTTTCTGCTTGCAGTTTCCTTCATAAATGTGCACTACATTATATCTACACGTTCTGCAAGAAGCTGGGCAGTGAATTATTTATTTCTCAAACACGTTGGTCTCTTCCTGTTATCCCTCACTGTACTACGGTTTTTACCTCATCATTTTAATACCTTAACCATGCCTCCACACCACCTCGGAAGGACAAAGAACACGAGGCCTGTAGCTCCTGGAGTGAGGCGAGGGCACCACCGCCAGGCAGCAGGCAGGCACTGTAGGAGGTGCTGCTGTTCCCCTCATCCCCACCGGGCTGGGGCTACGCTGCAGCGAAACTGACTGAAGATCTGATTACACCACAGACACCAGCAAGCCCTTGTTGGCAAACGGATCTCTTTGGAGCTTTCTGATGCTCTTAGCACGTACTCCAGCAGCTCCAGCACAACAAAGGGATCTTACCAGTAAATGGTACCAAGAATTAAGATGTACCACTTCTCTCTGTTCCTTCAGCTCAAAGGCCTGAACCTGCTCTCAGCTTCTAGGATTCCACCAACATAATCAGTTTCACCACTACTCAACAGGCCAGTGCAGATGCACCACAGCACAGAATGAACAAACCTGAGTATTGTGGAATCACTAGTATCAGAACACAGAGCAAGTCTGTTTATAAGGACTCACCAGACTGATGGTTTTGTAGTGAGGAGTCTCAAAATCTGTTACAGTAGCAGCAATAAACGTCAGAGTGTTTTTTGGGTTAACTAAATAGCTTTTCCACTCAAGAAAACCCACTCCCACTTTACAAAAGTGGGACAGTATCAGCAGACAAAGTTCATTTTGCAAACTTTTCTCAATCTGTAATTCTTTGGAGTAGGCAGCTGCATGTAAAACTTTGCCATTAAAATCTTACATTAATTACATAGGAAAAAGAGAGATCAGGAGACCCAAAATTTGTTAGTTTATTTTAATTATTATCCTGCACAGTCACTTCAGAAAAATGGGAAGCATTTTCTGAATAAATTTTTCCTTTTAAAAACTCAACTGCATCTTCCTTTTCCATCTCCTGAAACTTCTTGTTGGGGACCTGGAAGAAAGGAAAAGGAAAGGGTACCTCAGTTCTGTTGTCTTTGGCAAAGCACCCTGCCCCACAAACCAAGCATGCACTGATAGGAAGGCTGTACTTTGAAAATGAGTTAAGTCATTCATTCTATAAAAATCAGGAAAATAAGCCTGAGGTTATTAAAAAAAAAAGTTTTTTTAGGTACAAAGGAATTCAGTGACTTGATTTTTTTTCCTTTATCTGTGATTACATTTATTTCACTGATAATGGTAAGTGATTACTTGTCTTTCAGAGTTCCTCTGTCCTTTCTCCCTAGTGACACCACCACTACCTTCTAAGTAGAGATGATATAAAATTACAGCTCTGGAGAGGGCTCACCACTCCTTACAAGGCTTGTTCTACCAAGCAAACATACTCGTCACTGTGCTGCTAACAGGACAGAAACAGAATAACAAGACTCTTCTTACCAGAATCACATGATAGCCCAGTTTATTTAGATGCCTCTTCTTCATTTCCAGCTTCCCCCGGGGGTGTGTTGTGCCCACACAGAAAGCAGACAGAGGAACAAAGAGAAAAGCCAACCTACAACCAAGAAGAGTAGGGAAGACTCCATTGTACAAATGCAGGCTAAGCACCTCTAAGACAATGATTCACTGGTGCCCTTTAACACTGCAGGATGTATAACTGTCTTTCAGGTAGGCAAAAATATCAGTATTGCACAAATTTCTTATCCTTTTCCCTGTCTCCAGACTCAAGCAATTTAGACCCTCTCTTCTTTCATGAGCTTCACACAATTACCAGCATCTACCCAAATACCTCCAGCAGAAGTAAGGCCCTAGATCTCTACTTCTCCCACAGGAGAAGGAAATAGATCATTCAGAGTTCTATTCTGACAGCTTCTGCATTTACTTTGATAATATTCAGAATTGGTTACTTCCTGCCACAGAAACCTGCTTGGAAGGGTAAGGAAAGCTGAAGGCTTTGGAATCTTGATGGCAAGTGTCTGTTACACAATTCACTAGCTCTCCTTTTCCCAAAAAGCCAACTCTACAAAATACATTGCTGTGCAGTGATCCAGCACACCAGGATTACCCAATTCTACCTAAATGATCTATGTCCCACTTCAGTTACTGAGAGGTCATTCTTCTACACAAGATGAAATTAATCACCTAAAATGTGGCTATGATGATCCTTTTTAATTCAAATTATATTTCAGCAGCTGAATTCATTGCCATAACATACCATTGAGATGCACATCTTAGAGACTTAAAGAGTATAACTGAATATTTAATTGTACACACAAATACTTGGAATTTTAAACCCGTGACGTAGGAATTTTTTGGAAGGGATTTCAGTCATACTTCAAAACCTTGCAATATTAATGATAAAAGCATCAGATTACTGTGTATTTCCTCCCTTTTCTTCTGAAATGTTAAATTTTGGCCTCTGTTAGAAGCAGGTAGCGAACGGGATGAGTTGTTGCTCTGAACTGCCATGGCAATTGTTATATAGTTTGGTGAGCACAAATAACAAGTTAGTTACCTACTTTGCTTCTGCAAATCAGTGAACCAAAGAAGTAACTGGATGGAATACAGACAAATAAAACTACCCTGCTAGAAAAAAAAAAATGTAGTCAAAAAAGGCACCTTTGAACACTTGAGTCAGGCTGATCATCTGCTGCTGTTACTGGAAGCACTTTCTTTGTGTCTGAATCCATTCTGATTTCAAAATCTGAGAACAAAACAACAAAACATTTAAAGCTGCAGAGGTTACACTTGATGTTTCCCTTTGAACAGTAATTGCTAGAAATGTTTTCAAGGAAACAGCTCATTTGAAAAAGTTAACAGATACTCTCACTGCTGTTTTTCTAATTGCTATTCTCTAATAATTTACCTATTACTGATGGCTTTTCCCTCCTTAACCAATATAAACAGCTATAGCTTGCACATCTCCAGTAAAAAAAAAACAACCCACATTTATTTTTGGAAACTGTAGCTGTAACTTTCTGGGAGTGAAATCATAGTTCAAAGAAACTTGTCTTTACCACAGTCTGTCACACCTGTACAGATTTGCCTGTGATCCTATTCCTTAGCAGAAATATTTAGAAAGAAAATTATTATAGAGAAAGAAAAATTGTTAAGCTGGGTGGCTGGCAAAAAAAAAAAAAAAAAAGGCAGTATCAAAATAGGAAAGAAACCAAATGTTATGAAATGATCACCTGTCAAAGCAAGTCATGTCTCATTACATAAATGAGAGTAGAACCCAGACCTTTGCCAGAACTTCAGAGAAGAAACAACAAAAGAAGGCTGCTGTTTGGCCTTGTTCCTTATGTGATTTAGTACTAGCATATCAACCCTCTAAAGCAGCTGGCCATATGGGATTGATGTGCCATGAACATCTGCCTGCTGATGCTTAACAAAAAGTCCAAAGCAGTTTTGTAAATAAAAGCAATGGTAAAGTTTGAGGAAATTGACTTCAATATTTTAACAGAAGCATCCTAGAAACCAGACTCACCAACCAAGAACATCATTTGTTAAGAGTATCCTCAGAGTGTTACAATTTTAATCACTTGAGCTGCATGCAAATTGATAACCACTTTATTATTTTGGGGATTATAAATCTACATTAAAAAGAATGTGAAGCAATTTGGCCTCATACCAATGTGGTATTTATATGGCAGCTGAACGTTCTGCCGGAACATGCTCTCATCTCCCAGAAGTTCTACCAGAGCCTCTCGAGCCTTCCTGAGGTTAAGAGACACCAGTGAGAAGTTCTCAGTGGGTGCAAATACAGGTGTTGTGAAGGAAGGGCTGTCGAGCTCCATGCAGGCTCTCACACAGCGCAGCATCACTGCCTTCTGCTCTTTGTGCAGGTCATCTGGAAAAGGGTACAAAAAATATTACATCCCAGCTATCAGCTCACAGAGTTCTTCATTTGCATGCACATGCATAAAAACCATTTATAAAATCCACACAACTAGAAGGCTACTTATAAAACAAAGAAGGGATAGCAGACTTGGCCATAATTCTGACACTGTACTTTTAAGAGTCCCAAGCTGTGCAAACTCTAAGCAGTTACAGCTTGCCAGCTCTCAGGTTCAGTCCCAGCAGGCTCAACAGCAAGGCACAGTGTTCTACTCTACACTGAACTACTCTACTGTGTGGAGACAACTGTAATGCAGAAACCAAATCCTACTACAAACCATGCAAAAATCCCCATTGTAACTCAGAGCAGTCAATACAACCTTTTCCTCATGATTCCAGGTACTAGAGTTGGTTTACAAAGGTTCAGATTACCTGTGCTTTTACAAAGGCCAGAACACCTACTGAAGGTTGCACACCTGGCTCTTACACGTTTCTGCCACTTCCACAAATCTCATACTCACCTCTCACTATTGCACACCTGCTATTAAACTGTGGCCCAGGGGCAACAGTGGGGCCCAGGACAATAAGCCTGATGCCCTAGTGCAGAAACAGGTCACTTAAATTGCCATCTCTGCATTAGCTTTGTCTTAAAGACTTCAAATTTAGTATTGTTCATGTTTGCAGTCTTGAATTCTAAACTCTTAACACAATTTCAACAAATTACAGATGGAGGCAAGAAGAGGACAAAATAAGGGCTGACCTGAGAGCTGAAGTTCATCCTTGCTGTCCCTCTGCAGCAGCTCATCAAGTGCACGACGAGGAAGACATCCTAAGATGCAGAGTGAATACGCTGCCTTCAGCAGGTCGGTGTTGGAAATCTGAGGGAGGTACTTATTCAAGCAGCTCTCAAGAGTCTCAAAAAACCTTTTCCAAAAGCAGAAGAAAAGTGTCTAAATACACAAATAAGGCTATACAAAATGCAGTTTTCAAACAAAAACACAAGTTAGAAGCCTCTAGTATCTTGTATAATCATCTGTTATGCAGCTTTTGATTCTTCTTTGACAGTACAGCTACATTTCAACAGATTTAGTAGCCTGGTCAGACCAGAACCAAGGTATCAATTTTCAGTCACAGACAAAAACTCCTATATAGAAAAAACATGAAAAGACACAGCAAATTTACCTGAGAGATTAACAGAACAGGATTATGAACTCTTTTACAACTTGAATCAAATACCAGTTACCATACATTACTCTATAATGACTACAGAACGTATGAATGAAGCATTTGAAATGAAAACCTACTGATGTTTTTTGTCTCTGGGAACATAGTTGAGTCTTGAATACACTCGCATAACAACCAGAAGATTTTTCAAGTTGAGGAATTCAGGGTCTTCTATCACCTTCTCAGCAAAAGTCCCCATCAGCTCACTAGGCTGAAAGCCAAGTGTCTCGAAGGCAGAAAGAAAATGGATAATCTAAAAGAAAAGATAGTCTTGTAAGGACAAGAAATCCAGTAAAGTGGATCATACCTGCTGATTTCATGACAGGCATTTTCAATGAAAGCAAATTTTTCAAACTGTGACACCCATTTTTATTTAATTTATCTTTATTCATCGAGAAATAGAAGAGTGTATAGTCAAAAATATCGACTTCATCAGACTGGTATTCCTAAAAAGTCTGTTCTCCATAGATCAAACACAAACATAAAGAAGGGTAAGAGAGAAAGCACTGCTTATTCTACTAGTACCACTATGAATGGTTTGGTCTCAGACTCACCTGTTTTTTGTCCCAAAGGCAGGCAGTAGACTGAACATAGTCTGCAAATGCTGAGAACAGTTTGACGTTACGGTACTGGAGACTGTAGCAAGCTTCCAGGATGAGAGTTAACTGCCTGATTGAGGCATCGTGGATGTTCTCTGCAACAGAAGGGCAGAACAGGACGAGTGATACAAAGCAATGGGAGTTGTAGGTTGGAGAAATTGTGGGTACAGTTTGACTCAGGGATGGAGGAGGGGGAAAAAAAATCAGATAAGGAACTGTGGAACAGCTCAGCAAAGTTAGCTGAGCTAAAACACATGGAGAAACTGAGAGGTGGAAGAAACCAGAGTCAGGGTCAAGCTAAAAGAGATAAATAAGCAAAAGGGAACAAATTAAGAAAAGTGAGAAGCCTGTGCTCCCAGAACATCGTCTGTTCCAGGATTCTTGATTTTCAGCACCTCCCTGCAGTCAGCATGGAAACCCTCAGGGTACCCCCTCTAGTAGTGCTTGTGCCCTTGGGCTGTCCCCCACGTCAGCTGAGGGAGTAACACAGAGGAGGATCTACAGCTGCTGCTCAATCACATACTAGCACGTGGTGAAATTTGCATTTTTCCCACTTGGTTTTTCAGAACAGCAAGAAACCACAAATATGAATCTGTGTCAAAAAATCACCAAAGGCTGTCATGCACCAAAGCATCTGTGTGAGCCAGACTGGAAAACACAGAACCATCATGTAACCTCTTGGCATGTGAGTGTGATGACACAGACTGAGTGCCAGGTGACAGCAGGCTTCTCTGCACAGCACTGCTGCTTCATTTGCCACAAAGGTGGACCTACTCCTGAGATGAGAAAGATTAAGTACTGAAGAATAATGGTCCCTCCTGAACATCCTGCTTTGTTTGCTGTAATGAGGGGCATACGAAGAATAATGGTCCCTCCTGAACATCCTTTGTTTGCTGTAATGAGGGGCATACATGTTATAAAAGGGTGACTGCAAGAGAAATGCACATAATTAGAGTAATAGGATCAGCACCCACCAAACTAGACTTTATCTTTTCCTCTGCCAGAGGGCTCAAGAGGATAGCAGGAAAATAACTGGATTTAACTCCTCTGAGTTGTGCTCAGTGATTTTCCAGGCTCAGCATAAAACACTGTTACCTCATCTCTTGAAGTGCTGAGTGCTGACAATTGAAGCAAATGGGAGTTGTGCACCAAATGAAGTGATTTGCAACGCCAGATATTCTTAAGAAAACAGGCTAACATCAGCTCCTATTACTGGACTTTTTGACTTTAATCTCTCTCTTTTGCATTACTAATTAGAAAATTAGTATCATCACTGGGTCACTCCCTTCCTGCTGCAAAAAATTAACTCAGTAAATACCTATGAAGTACACAGTCATTACAATTCTTGTCAGATCCACAGATATAAGAGACAGAGCCACTTTCTTGAGAGCCCCAGCAAGAGCACAGGACCCAGAAACTGCTGTAGAACTCCTTTGCTCCATGGGCCCCAAAGTGTGGCCCTCCCTCCTCTTCCATCTCCAGCCTCTCACAGGTGTCATTTCTGTCCAGAAATAAATTGCTGTCTCCAGAGCATCATTTGCATGATGTGCAGCATGTAAGTCCAGAGAAGATGCACAAAAATATGAGGAAAAAGGAAAATAGCTCCTCACTCTGCTTATGCCATCTAGGCTGTGTAGTGAGTGTGGTGAAGGTCTATGGGAAAAGCCAGTGTGCACCATTAATCATGTCCTAACACAAGTGAACAACCAGGACAACTAAAGGCTGTACAAGCAGCCTGAACACTCCTGGTTCATTTCTGTTAAGAATGCTATTTCTCTATCTTAATGGTCTTTTAGGCACAAATTCATATGTATTTTATCTGTGAATCATTACATACTAATCACATTTAGCCACTGATCCATCCCCTAAGATATCCAATTCAGATTTGTTTTAGAAGTTTATTTGAAATCTATTTTTTCTGGCTAGAGTTCAATTCTTTTTCCTAAATTCTGCATACAGGAAAATAGGTAACTCAGGTAAATATTAAGAAGGGCAGAGGTGACAAGAGATATTTGCTTTCACTATCAATCAGTAATTTTCTGTCTTGCTGCTTGTCAAACAGCTCCACGTTACTACAATATCCTGTAAAACAAAGGTGTTTCCTGAGTTTTACAGCAAATCAGAAGACATGATGAGACAATAATTAGGAAGAATTTGTTATAAGAAAGAGATAATTAATAAACATATTTTTTTTCTTACCTTGGATCTTTTCACTGCAGGCATTCAGGATTGGAAAGGAACAATAATTCATTGCAACAAGAGCCAAAAACAGGCGCTGTGCATTCGGGAAGGTCAGATGATGTATGTCTTTCAAAACTGCCATCTAAAGTGAATTAGAGTTTATTAAATCCTTCATTCTTCAGGTATATTATCATTGCTTTCTGGTGTAGGCATTTTCACCAAAGCTTTCCCAAATTCCTTAGCCTGTTCAGACTTATACGAAAGAAAAAGGAGCAACAAACAGCAAAAGCATAAAGTGACTACTCTCAGTTATAGGCAATCACAGCAGATCAAGTGTTCTAGAGCCATGTCACTATGCAAGTGCTCAGCAATTCACCTTTATATGTTTTTTTTAAATAAAGAAGTCTCAGTAAAGCTCATTCCAGGTACTGTGTAAATGTACCAACTCATTAAAAGGCAGCAGAAATGTAACTGCCACAGCTGACTTATTTAATACAACTCCAATGACTGCTTTGGATGTGCATGGAAGCTGAAAACCTTCAAAGTGATCCACTAGCACACCAAGTGGCTATCCTGAATACAAACACCCAGCTACAAATGTGGACTGAGGCACAGAAGGTCACCTCTGATGCCACAAAGGAGAGTTCTTTAATCAAAGCAGTAATTAGATCGATAAATGACAATAAAAATGAGACTACAAAGTATAATGGCTATTAAAACACAATATTCTTATCTCATGCATATCAAAGGTTAAATACAAAATGCATCTACAATAGAAGTTACACAGTATTAAAAAATAGCACCTCATAGGCTCAGAAAATTAAAGTCTCCCTTCAGTTAACAAGTGGGAATGTTACTTTGCTCTCAATTCCATATTCCATGACACCTTCAGCTAGTTTCTCACTGTCTTGTAAAAAGTGGTACCTTCTCCAAGTTCCTGAGATTTACTCACAACTAAGCCATTGCATTACTCCCCTGTACTGTTCTGTTCTTGCCCAGGTGGTATCCTCCCTCACCTCCTCCTGAATGCTATTACAAACTCTGACTGCAGAGCCCTTCAGCTATGTGATGAAAATACTGTCAGGCCCTGTTTCAAAGATTTCCAAAAGTGTCTTTCAATCAGGGTACAAAACCCAGTACAACCTGGCATGAACCCTACAGCCTGCTCCCAGTGGCTGTATTTCCCAGGGGACCTTTCAGCCACACAGAAAGGTAAGGCCATGAACTATGTGGTTTCCCTGGCCTCTCACTCCCACCACTCCCCTAGCCCCCTACCATTACTGGACACAGCCCCATCACAGACTAACTGTCTGTCTTCTCATCTTCCAGCCACAGGCTCAGCAAGGGATCAGGCATCAGCCTGTGAGTGCTTCTCTGAAACACCACATGGCCAATCCAAACAAGAGGTGACAGCACTGCTATTGTACTGCCTCAATTTCTTTTGTGCCATCTCCATTGTTTTCTACCTTCTTTCATGGTGGGATCCTCCCAGCCTCCAAATTTAAGCTTTCCCAGCACATATACCTGGACTATGATTCATGTAGAAATGCATTTAACTTTTCTTTGTAGTTTCTCTTTCAGTGTCTGGAAAGAACCATACACAACATACAAACAATGCAAGAGCACAGGCTTCACAGAGGTATTGACAATAAGCCTCCAGCTAAGCTTACCTCTAATTTCTTTTTCAGAAAGACTGGAGCATCTCTTCCCATGCACTTCATCAGGTTTTGCAGGATAAAGACATCTCTAATACCTGGAACACGCTGCTCCACCAGTAGTCTGATGAAGAAACACACACAAGGCCTTGAGCTGGAGACAGTAACTGTTGAAGAGCTTTCCTCATCTCAGCAGTAACAGGTAGGTACCCCTATTCTCCCTCACTGAGGTACTCCCAAGTTATAGCTGCAATTCCCTCCTCCTCCCCCACCTCCTTTTTTGCAAGGCTGGCATAATTCTACATGATGTAGCTGCAGCACAGGTACTTTGCATATGGAACAATTACACAGGCTTTCCTAATGTTATCCCAACATATTAGCAGAATATCTGCAGAAAACAAAGAAAGAAACTGCATATTTTTATCACACAGTCATCTATGTGCAGGCAAGTTCTGGAACAGGTAGAAAACTTGGGCACAGACACTGACAACAACTTGCTGCAAGTGAGGAATAAATACAACCAACAACGCTGTGGGTTGCAGGGTATCACAACACAGAGGGATCCTAAGCACAAGATGAAGGAGTTCTGCATTCCCAGCACCTCCCTTCCTGGCTCAGAGACAGGTATTATAATTGTTATGTCTGAATCACCCTTAAATACACCTGCACAGCTACAGAAATATGAAGTGTCACTTTCAAAGGCAGTGCACTGTCCTGAAATTCATCTCTGCATAGGCAGCTTCCTGCAAATGGGCAATAGCTCCAGCCATCAAGCCACAGAAAGAACAGTCTCATGGGAGTGAGCAGCCTGGTTACCCACACACACCTCCCTGGCCCAGAAGAAAGGCCTTGCTGGCTGCACAAACGAAGTCTAAACTTGTCTTCATCTTAATTTTTACTTACTAAATTAAAAGAAAGCATTTGCTGGGTGCTAAACAGCATTTATCACTGTGGCAACTCAAAATACTTCACAGAGTGAGCCAGCCTCACTACCTCCTTTCTGCACAGTGCCAGAACAGAGGCAGAGGTAAGCCAAGTGACTTGATCAACATCACAGAACACCCCAGTGGTGGAGCTGCAGTCAGAACATGAATCCCCTCGTGCAGGGGGACATGTTCTGTTCCAGTGCAGACACTCCTTCCACGATTTCTAAAAGACATATATTCAAACAACACTTAAAAGAGATGTTTTTCTCACTGTAATCCAGCTTGAAGAGCGCTCACATTCTTGTCTTTGTCCATGCCTGCTAAAGTGGTGGCCAATACTGAGATGCATCTGTTATCCAGCTGATTGAGCTTCTCCTGTTAAGTTTACACAGTGTCAGGTTACTTCACACCAGTAAAGTCCAGGAAAGAAAATCTGACTGCTCCTAATCCGTACCTGCTGTCTCCTCTTGCCCCCAGAAATTAATTCATTAAGCTTTAATTCTCCAGTTTTTACACATTAATGTAGTCGATTTAAAAATGATAATGTTTTTTGAGACTTCTGCTCTCTGTTGTAGCTGCCTGAAATCAGGCAGTGGTTTTGAAAATTAAAGAAATTAGAAGTACACACAAATTAACTAAGGGAGCCCTGTTTCCAAGGAACATCAGACTAAGCCAAGGATCATAGAATC